TAAACCTGGCAACCATGGTTACAACGTGGTCATAAGATTTTGGAGCGGCCACAAAGGATCGCCACGAAGATGGTCAAAGGACTCTATTATGATTCATACATGGGGAGACTGCATTGGGTTTATAATCTGCCCAGGGCTTCCATTCAGGTTTCTGGCTGACTCGCCATGCGACGTCTCCGGAGATGAAAGTTTGGAGCTGACGGTGATTATGCTCTACTGGTTAGCTCTAATTAGACCAAAACCAATTCCTAAAGGCCTCTGTCGACTGACAGTTGATTCTCTAACCTATGGACATGCGTGCCTCTGGTGAAACCTAACATATATTGTAGACAAAACAAACAAATCTTTGTTTCAAGGACGAGGGGGTCGATTTGTATTTGAATCCTATGAATGGTGAACTTTGGTTATTAACTGAATGGTTGACAGATTCGCTAACACGTACAACAGAAAAGGATTTAATTTAGCTCGTGTAGGCCTAAGTGATTCAGCAACTGAGTGAGTGAGTGAGCGAGCGAGCGAGCGGCAGACTGACTGACCTATTAGCTAGCTACCTGGACAAGAGAATGGACGCTCAATTGACTGTAAAAATAGGCAGTCCTGTGCAACCTAACCTGATTCACTGAATGAGTGAATGGTTAACCAACTCTTCTGATCAAGGGATCAATTTGGAATCTCTCACTTGCTGAATCTCCTCAGCCGGTCGTGGATGCATCGATCAAAGTTTTACCCTCCGATAGCTGCTAGATCACCGTCATGCTTATCAAAGATCAACGGTCATTGTATTCTTAGACATGGGCGCGGCCTTCGACTCTATCGAACTGCTTGTTGAGGAATGGGGTACCTGAGAAGTATGTGTCGATCCTTAAAGAGTTGTATCGTCATACCTCAGGTCGGGTTAAGGCCTATGGCCAGCTTTCGCCACCCTTTGCCGTCTCCAGTGGAGTTCAGCAAGGCTGCCCTATATCCTCATTCCTTTTCAACTTGATCATTGAGGATGTTCTACAGAACGCTTTGTCCGGTCAAGCAAACGGTGGAGTCGAACTCCTCCCAGGGAACAGAGTTCTTGATTTAGAATATACCGATAACATCGCCTTACTGGGTGAAAACACAGGCAATCCAAGACGCTTTAAACCGCTTGGCGATCGAGGTATCCAGGTATGGCATGTGCTCTGCACCTTCAAAGTGCAAAGTGCTTGTTCAAGACTGGCAGGAGCCTGTGCCTGCACTCAACCTCTGTGGTGATCAGTTGAAAGTAGTTGAGAGCTTTAAGTACCTCTGGAGCTTGATTGAGGCTGTCTCTGGTGTTGAGGAGGAGATCCCATCACGAATAACGAAGCTAGAGCAGCTTTCGCCAACCTGCGACACCTGTGGCGCCGCCATGACATCCGACTGTCCCTTAAGAGAAGGGTGTATATCGCCGCAGTTCGTAGCGTTCTGCTTTACGGTTGCGAGACCTGGCCCCTCCACGTTGAGGATGCTAATCGACTTTCTGTATCTGACTATCGATGCCTCCGAAGAAATGCTCGTGCTGGGTGAGAAATGAGGAGGTTCTTTTTCGTGTGTAGTGTGCGGATACTCGTTCTCTAACGGAAATAATCGCCCTACACCGCCTCCAATGGCTTGGTCACGTACTGCGTATGCCTGCCCATCGACTACCTTTCCATGCTCTCTTTACAAGTGCCGAGAAAGGCTGGAAGAAGCGCTGCGGCGGTCAGACCATGACATGGCGTAGAGATATGAAGAAGATGGCTTCAGCTTCAGCTTCGATTGGTGCAGCCCGCTTTTCAGATTGGGGCCCAAGGGATGAGGATTGCCGTTGGTGAGAGACGCTGAGAGATATGGCCCAGAATAGAAGTCAGTGGCGTGAATACTGTACGGTTTGCCAGTCGGAATCCCGTACCCCATTAGAAAAAAGACAAACTAACGCACGAAAAGGTGTACGGTGAAACACAAAAAAATGTCATCTCATTCATTTGCTATTTCCAATTTTAAAAGTTTCATCTTTTTCCTATGTTCTGTGTCCCCACAATCCCTCCTATATTGTTATCGTTATTATTATTTTGGCGTTGGCACCATGCATCAGTACGAGCCTATCTAACCAAGTAAAATGTCCGCTTACAATTCACTTAAACAACAGAGGACAGCGGCTCTGATAGTTTCAGCTCGATGATACCCAATGTAACACCACCTTTATTTTCGAGTTTGTTGTAGGTATAAAGTCGCGCTCACGACATCGCTAACACCGAGGATCTCTCGGAATTCTTGTTGTTGTGACAAAACTGGTTTGCTATAGCGAGTTTGTACTAGGTGAACAAAACCCGATGAGACCCGATCAGGTCNGTCGAAACAGTTGTCCAGTGCTTCCCAGCATTTCATCTCACACCACATTTACACCACGAATTCATCATATAAATAAATCAAATCCTCCATTACTCTCCTAAAACCTATTTTCACGATTGCGGAGGTTTGTTAACCACGAATATAGTGCTTTATTCGGTTTGGTTTGTATTCCAAGGAGAAAATAATGTGTAATTAAGTCTACTCCATCGATGAAAGATGATGCGTTGACCTTGTCAATCATATTTTTGTCTCAAAACAGTTACGCAATGGAAATAAGATGTATGATTCAATTGATGTTCCGACTGTCGGATGATTTTCCTGCTGATCGTATTCGAACGTGTGGTAACCGACGGAATGTGTGTGTGCAATGTGTGTGGGCGGGGCTAGATGTGAAGATGTGGTTCAGAGGAAGGGGGGCTTTAGTGCGACAGATGAACCTTGTACGCATTTCCTTCGTGTGATGATAGTCTGTCAAACTGGTCTCGAATTGTTTTGGTCAATCCAGGGAAGCACATCGAGCATATGTGTCGATTCGATTGTCCACTCGGATGTATAAAAGCTGTTATGATTCTGTGGAAAACTAACTCAGGTACTCACTCGTTCATTCCCGTGTAATCCTTCCTGGTCATTTGACAACGCCACAAGGGGTTTTGACGAGTAGACAAACCAACAAGAATCTGCTCAGCTCATAGATCATCTGAATATGCTAGAAATGCTCAAACTTGCTGTCCTGTTGTTCACACTGGTTCCGGCAATCCTTGCTCAACGGTATACGGATTGCGGTATGTTACAAAAGAGTCCCCTATTTAGTTTTGTTTTCTCATATTCTGGTTATGCAAACATTTTCTTGTCCTTTGTGTATTGATGAATGCTGTTGGGATTATTAGGAGCAGAGAAGCTGGTACCATGCCTAGGGTTTCACCTGAGCTGACATTTTCACGGACAAATGTTGAGGCTCTGCTTCTTTTTAAAAGAAATAGTCATCCGGCAAAAGAACTGATAAACTGGGATCGATTTTTTAAAGGATGCACCCACAAGGCCGCTCGTGTGGATCTCAGACTGACTGGTATTTCGATCACTGTGTCACTGATTTATGAATTTATTGCCTATACATTGGACGTGGCATGTGTGCAGTGTCCTTCAATATGAACTGCATCCAATCAAATTGTTTACATACGACCAGAGGCGCTCTATTCCACTTGTAACCGGTGCAAAAAATCATAATATTTTCAACCCGTTCAAAATATAAGGAAACCCTGTTTGTTTTCGCGTTAGTTGCATGTTGACATCGATTCCTTATGTCTAACTGCGCAAAACGTAAATGCCTTCATTGTGTCATATCAAAACCACACACTTATACGGCATTCACCGTTGCTAATCAGTTCTGAACCTTGCCAGCGTACTATCAGCATATCCAGCCCTTGAGTACAAGGTGTGTTCCTCTATCGATGTATCTCAGTTTTTCTAAAAGGTTTACTTGTATTTGACGCTTCTATTGGTTGCAGTTTTATTGGTGGGGAAACAACTAGTAGTCGCCCGTAATTCATCTAGGGTATCTATAAAGAGATTATATTATGTCTTCTTCTCTCGAAGTACAATAACTCGGAAAAAACATTGCAGTAAATCGTTGTCGTCTACCCAACGAGAAGATCTCCCCACCGTTCATACCCCTTTCTGCAAAGAAAAAAACAGGCAGCACAAGGGGATACTCGGCCGTTCGTTGAGTGTGCCTTAGGGGACACTCACTTAAAATACTGCGAATCATCCCCATACGGCCGTATGGATACAACTACCGGTAGTTGTATCCCTAAAGTACGTAAATTCATTCAAAATAACCAATTCAATCCATGTATTCCATCTGATAACCAGATTAGAGCACAAAAATTGATCTTGGAATTTTTATGTCTTTTCTAGCGAAATAAGTAATTACTATTGTCTATGACGTATTTGTACTTTCTGTCTGTAAATATATTATCAAAGCTCTTTGATAAAAATTGTTTAACGATTTCTCGCAGTTCAATTTGTTTCAGTGCACTGGAAAGTCAATCGACTTTCTTAGATCTGTTTTTCGAGTGTCCCTTTGAGTGTCCACCTGAGTGCCTCTTCTAGTTTCAAAAGGGATACCGCGAACAAATTTTAATATGCGTCAGGTTTCAGCTGACGTTAAGCCAGCAAAGGCTGACCCCTATTGACTTTGCCCGAGATTTCAAATCTCGATGATCGGTTTATTTCGCCGACGAGTGCATGGTGTGCGACGGGCCTTGAAAGGCTCACATTAAAGTCATTTGTGGTGAGAACTTCCCAAAAGGACTTATACCACCAAAATAAAGAGTTTCTCACCCGTCGAGATTACTCAATGGACATCAGTCAAAGACACCATGAATAGTGGGAAATTCATATCAGGAAAATCACTGATTTAAAGACTCACTAAGGTTTGTTCACTGTTATTTGGAAAAAAATTTACTTCAGTCTAAAATCGGGTGCCTATACGAACCCATAAGTGTTTCACAGGGACCCGTTGCTTCAGTTTCGATTACACCCTTTATATATATATATATATATATATATATATATTTATATTTATATACAGCTATATATATTGTACATTTCATTGGTATGTGGCTAAGGGAAGCAAATACATAAGTGGGTATTGCGCCTGATGTGAGGCAATATCATATTTCATCTCGTGATCGAGGCTGGAAAACCGAAGCATGGAGAGGGACAAATATGATGAAAATCACGATGTTGCACGAGTTTGGTCAATATCTGTATATGTATGAAGGATGTAAAAAGGCTGAGTGACATCTACAACTATCTGCGTTCATCTGGGTTTCTGTGCGAACTGATAAGCGAAAGATGTGGTCCGAATTTACGGTTACGAGGTACATGAGAAAGGTCAACGTGTTATGGGTGTGAAACCTCTCCGAGTGACATTCTTTACATTCAAAGTGTCACTGGAAGTCATGAATGAGATGGTTGATTTACCTGAAAACACAATCAAACTTCAGTCCGCATTAGACAGCTGTTCATCAGTCATCCCCGTGATCCCAGAACAATTAGGTGCTTTCTTTGCGTAACATCTTTGATGCACCAGTCGAGAAAGCTGGTGAGAATGGATTGGTGATGCGAATCGTGCACTAACTCTGCTTCTGTTTCGCTTGCATTCTGCAGCTGGAAACGGTAACTTGGTGAATGTGACCGTGACACCATGCACGCAGACCCCGTGTGAAATTCGACGCTACACCCGGACCGAATTGGCTATCACATTCCGAGCAGGTGAGGTTTGTTTTCCAACAACTTGATAACTTTTATGTATGGATCAATGCTTGACAACTTACGCTGACCCCATTTACGCAGGATAAGCCTACAATTTAGTGAAAATACGATTTACTCTATTCAGTTTACTTAAGGTTTCTATAGTTTGAGTGATACCTACAGTGCAGGTTGTTGCGATAAAAGAACTAACAGACGTGATATTGTTGTTATGTGTTTGGACATGATTCTCTGTTTCGTTGTTGCTCACTGAAACAGCATATAATTCCCTGTTTAAACGTCAGAAAAAAATAATATGGGATCATTTAGGAATATGATTGAATGGTGTGGGTCTTTGACAAAATCAAGGTCAGTTCAGTGCATGATATTTTACTAACGCATAATTAGTGCTTTTTCAGTTGGCTCCTCGTACACATTGGTCCCTATGCTTGTCCAGTAGGTTACGAAATGCATAAAACCCACTCCGTTTGTAGGGTGTCCGCGGTTTCTGGTCCTCTCTCTTCGAACGACATTTTCTTGCACCGTTGATGAAAAGCACAAGTACTTGACTAAAGGGAAGAGTGTCTGAAGACTAGCTGAGATCGAACGGAAATTTCAAGAATAAACAAGAGGACTATCGTTCAAGACAAAAAGGAAACTTCTCAACACCAGAGCAATGTGTTAGAAACAGCCAGTGGTACCAACTTCAGTTTATATACGCCAGATAGCAGGTGTCACATTAACTTGTAACATTTGTAGTTATCAGATCCCCTAAATAATGTACTAAGCAAAATTGTTCTTACATGTTACGTTTCCTTTGCAAAAGTACGGTCCGATAATCTTGCCGTGCACAATACCAGTCCATACTAACACCTTGGTACTACGAAGCGATTTCGAGTCAACAGAGTGTCTTGGGTTTTCAAAGGCCCAATGAATATAACTTGTAACATTTTCGTTCACATGAAAATGGCTTCATCCGTGAAAACCGTCTGCCACACATCCAAGTGTACCAGGTGCCACGTGCAAAATTGTAGTCGGTGCTCAGGATCATTGACACGAAGTTCTTGTAGATGAGCATCTTTGAAGGGACTAAAAGTTACATTGTTAACATAACATCTGAACAGTGACCTGTCTAATTTCATCAGTGCTTTAAGAAGTACCGCTGCGATTATCCTCCAACCATTCGCACAGGCGGGTCAGTGCATCAACCGTCATCGATCGACTGGAGACTTGACACTCGCCTACCAGGCAGGTCAATCACTTTCACTATGCAACTGTTCGCATAGCTACGCTAGTGAGACAACTCCGGGTAAACGATCTCATGAATGTATTGCAGGAATAAATAGATCAAGATATTTTGCCATACAAGTAGCTGGATGGAAAACATATTGAACAACTTTTATAAAATAAACATGCATTTTCCATAACATGTTTTCTACCCTCTGGAATTCTATCTCCACTGTAGTTAACAAGATCGTTCAACGCGAAAAAAGCCAGTTAGTAAAATTCCAAGAAGAGTTTTGCGTTGGCCTGTATTAGTGGATATCGTAGTTCGTAATTAAGACAAGTTTTATTATTATGATTAGCGGTTTATCGAACCGGCTGAGAAAAATAGAACGTGAATATTAGACCAGTCAAACGTTGGCCCAGTGTCATCATGACTTGAACCTTTTCATTCCGAATCTCCCACTTAGCGCATCGTTCCACAACTTAAGCAGCATCCGATTCCAAACATATCCGCCTCCTATGCCGGCCCGAAAATCACGGCCGATCGGGTTCATTTATCGATCGGTCGGAAAGGTCACCGCAACAAGAGACCTGGTGCTTGCCCAGCTAATCCCAGCGAGAAACCACACCTGGTTTACAGCCGCGAACCTTGGACAGGACCAGTGAACTTCGACTGTACAGTAGGCGTTCCTTCACCACACGATAGACTAAACGTAAGAACAAGAGCATCACAAAAAATACAAAACAATGTGAAAAGATGAAGCATTCGCATTATCGTACGATTGACGTAGCAACATGACATCTTAAGTTGACACTAGGACATGTTAAATTGCTATTGGGACATCTTAAGTTGATGCTGTAGCATCTCAAATTGATATTCGGATATCGATTAGCAATGGTGAAAAGAGAGTTAGACATGGTTACGTAATACGAAAAAGATACAAACAGAAATGAATTCGAATAGGCGCAGAAAGTTAACCGAATAAAAAAGTTCAACTAAGTAGGTCAAAGAGAGTTACGTAATAACAAAATGAGAAAAGCGAAGTTTCAACGATGATGTTCGGATGATATTCGATGATATTCCGATGATATTCGGATATCTTAAATTGAAAAAGATATGGTTTTAGTCCTAGCAATAAGCGCATCCCGTGAAAGAAGAGGTCACCTAAATGTCGTGTCACTGGTCTGCGGTCGACAGGGTCAGAAGTTCACGAATTTCACGTTTCGGTAGTCAATTGATAATGAAAAACCTATTACGTAATCGCAGTCCTTAAATCTGGACAATAAGTGAAGCCATCAATACAGAAAGATGACAAGTGCCATAAGATGTTAAAAATTCGTTTAATATTCTCGATTGTTGACTTAAAACAAACTGGTACATATATAGCATTTAGGGTTGATCAGTTATGGAGTGACCTATTGCTTTTTCAATTATGCCACTTGACCTCACGTGTGCAAACGTTTTGGATACAATCAATCCATTAACCACGGAGTTGACCTTTTACTTCTATATTTTGTAACCTTAGTTCGCTTGTACCCAATGTGCTATACAGTTGCCTGTTTGCATTACGTCAGTGACTGAGGAGATCAAACATTTATATTCCTTCCGTATTGATGAAATGGATAAAGGAAACTCACTGTTTTACACAGCTGTAGAGCGAAAAGCTGTCCGTTGAGTTACACGAAATGATTGCCTGAGTCGTCCTAAACTCACGGTAACATTGGTGGATAGAACATTCCACCGGTGTAGAACGCAATCACATAAAAGATCACAGGTATGGTGCATCCGTTTCACAGGCTCGTTGTACTGTCCGTTTGTTGTTNGTTTCCATCTTTGTGGTATGTCTTGGGTCGCTGAGGCACTTCAATATGGTTGTGGCTGTGGATGTGTTTTGATCGTATCGATTACTGTTCGGTATGAACCATGAATCGATTGATTGATAGAATAAAATAAACCATTGGTTTTATACGAGTTTTGCTTGTGCTCATTGGAAAAGCATCCAACCATCCATGCAGCCCATATAATGTGGTTCGAATGTATGGCGGAACTTCGAAGAATTGAAATATGCGAGGTCTGAGAATTGGTTTATGGAAAACCAGTCAAAAATGAACCAGTATACACTAAGAAATTTTG